TTAAGTTTGCTCACATAAGTTACTTCCTAGTGAAAACTTAGGCACTACCTTACCAACATCTATCAATATGATAATCATCATGTAGGAGAGCTGGTGTTTCTTGTTTTCTCCTATTAATAGACTATCTATGACTTTACAACCTTGTTTTTCTTTATATGTATATGTCTATTACAATTTTTATTTGCGGAGCCAGTTCCAAAATCTAGACAATTTTTTCAAAAATTGAAGTAATAATTCTTTACTTCTTGACTTGGTCTTTGAGACTTTTTTTAACTGAAATAAGTTAAATGACAAGGAATTTTTTTTTAAGATTTTAATTTATTTCATAGACAGAGATCACAAGTAGGCAGAGAGGCAGGCAGAGAGAGAGAGGGAAGCAGGCTCCCCGCTGAGCAGAGAGCAGATGCGGGACTCGATCCTAGGACCCTGAGATCATGACCTGAGCTGAAGGCACAGGCTTAACACACTGAGTCACCCAGGTGCCCCAATGACAAGGAATCTTGAAATCACAGTGCTCTACAAGTAGTAAGCATTCACTAGTGAGCTCTCATTACTCAAAAGCAAAAGGACTATTTAAGATGTGTCTAAAGTGCCATTTTTGTAAAGATGAAGGAGAAAATAACTGGACCTTGGGATGATAAAGGAAATCTTTAGAACTCAGAGGGAAAATATGAACTGTGTATGAGAGAAGGAGAGACCGGAAGAAAGAAAGGAAGGAAGAGATGAAGGAAAAAAACTGTTGAAGGAAGAGAGGGCAGAAGGAAGGAAGGAAGAGAGGCAGGGGGCGGGGGGAGGGAGGGAGGAAGGAAGGAAGCGAGCAAGGAAGAAAGGAAGGAAGGGAAGAGGGAAGGAAGGAAGGACTACCTTTATATAAGCTTTAAACAAAGTGTAAGGGAAATCCCTGGCAGAGGCATGGAGAAGGGAAGGACTTGGATGTTGTCATGATAACTGTATTTTCTTTGTACTTATTCTAGGACAGACATTGGTATACTGTGTTAGTGTAAGTTCTGCTCTAGAGACAGCAGGTTGCTTTTATCAGGATGGTCAGCTGGTATTTCATTAGAATAAGGCAACACCCCAGAGGAAGCCTCTACAAGTGCTTTGACTATCACTAGTTCTAATCAAAACTAGACACTTTGTTAATTAGCACAGTGGATATTAGAAATCAGATTTGATTTCTAAAATTAGTGGCTTTTTACTAAATATAGTGGATCTTGGAAACCAGCTCTCCGTGGTAAAATCAGTACTATTCAAGACACTTGGATTACTTAACATAATATAAAGACACATCACTCCCCTGCAAGCATCTAGTGGGGCCATTGGCCCTGCCCCCTTAGGGAAACTTTTCCAGACATGATTCCAAAATGGTCCTGTGTTCAGAGGAAGATTATTCTTAGATGTCATTACATAATGAGCCTAATCCAGCCACTGATATATTGTCACATGTACCTCAGGGGAAACTTTCTTGTAAGTTTTTAGGGAACACACACAGACACACACATGCACAACAGACAGCTGGAATGTCTTCCAGTTTACAGGATGGGGTCTATGTTTGTTTGTTAATAAAGGCATATACAACAGAATTTGTCCAAATTTTCTTCCAGTATGTAATGGAACCAAGGTGGTGGGAGAGTAGTTAACCTTCTCCTGACCCTAATCATTTACAGTTACCTCATTTACCTAAAAAGATCTTAGAATTATGCCAGCATCTCCTTCTAACTGGAACTCTGCATGGTCTGATTCCACAGAGGTGGCAAGGCAACAATTTAAGTTGGGTCACCCTGCCGCAGCAGTTATTTCCTGAACTAAAAAGCCTGGACCTGCTCTGGCAGGAGCATCCAGGCATGTTTTTTTTTTTTTTTTCCTAACAATCACAGTAAATGTGTACTTAAAAAGAAAATTCTGGCTGAGTGTGGAGGATAAAATGGAAGGTTGGAGAATGAAGACCAAGAAGGTAGTGTAGGAGACTTGGACAAGGAAGAGCAATTGAGTGAGGAAACAGTCTATTTTCAAGAGGTACAATTAGGTGATAAAAACTAAGAGAACTGGGGCACCTGGGTGGCTCAGTGGGTTAAAGCTTCTGTCTTCGGCTCAGGTCATGGTCCTGGTGTCCTGGGATCGAGCCCCACATCGGGCTCTGTGCTCTGCAGGGAGCCTGCTTCCACCTCACTCTATCTGTCTGCTTCTCTGCCTACTTGTGATCTCTGTCTGTCAAATAAATAAATAAAATCTTTAAAAAAAAAAAACTAAGAGAACTAGGAGAAGGACATTTAGACTTAAGGGCTATTTACACACTAATGCAATTGAAGATAGGGTTGTTAAGTGTGATCCAAAAAAGTGGGTATTGTAGAATGAGAAGTGCTAAGACCTGGATCCAGAGGAAACAATAAAATGTAAAATTACGTAGAAGGAAACAAAGCGTGAGGCGAACAAACCAAGGGAACAAACCATCAATGTATTCTATCTTGGAAAAACAGAATCTTTCTGACACAGAACTGATAAAGCCAGGGAATGCCTATCCTGATGACCCAAAAGGAATTGCATGGATGTGTTCCTGACACCAGCTACTCCATATCACAGACTTACACAATCGCTGAAATTCTTGGAATTTGGAGTTATTTGGACCTGGGCTTAAATTCTGTCTTTCTAGCTGTGTAATTCTCTGAGTATCAACCAAGTAGCCAACACAGCGCTTGCTATTTAATAAATAGTCAACGAATCTATCATATCACCAGAGTGAGACATTGTTTCAAAATATTAACTAAACTTTCCCTATTCTTTTTCATACTCTTTGCCTTTCCTTATATCCAAGAGTATTTTATGTATTCCCCTTTTAGGGGAGCTGATGCTGTGGCCAAGAATCAAGAAGGCATCACTAAACTTTTGACTTCTGGATTACATTTTTTAAGCCAAGTCAAGAATATGAAAAGCCTGGGGTCTCTTCTTAACAGTTATGTTTTCTTTGGAAGAAGAAAGGACTGTGGGAGACCTATGAAGAATGGGAATGCGATGATGTCAGAGAAATTTTCCACTAATGGAAGAGTAGATAATTATTCAACCATAATAACACGTGTAGAAAGATCTAAGGGGATGTGACTAAGGTTTAGAGGCAGGTAAACTATCCAGAATCTTCTACCATTCAGAACATGACAAAGAAAAACTGCACTGGATATAGATAGTTTTGGGGAAATCATTCATTTCATTCAGAACACAAACTAAACATATTTTAAATAGGGTTAATAGATCAAGTGAGATGCTCAGCTAATCTGCTTTTTCAAACATCTCCTACTATGCAAACTGTACAAACAACATCAGATCTTTACATTATACTGAACAGACTAAATTTTTAAAAGACATGAAACAGTAGGGACTCAGGATTCAATAAAATAGATATTTTGGATATAGACCTATTTTCAAATCCCATCTTGGCCACTTATAGTAATGCTCATGTTATCTTCATCAGTACATTATCTAACCTCTGGGAGCCCTAGTTGCCTTATCAGTAAAATGGAAATTGTAATACTGACCTTAGAAGTTTTTGATCCTTAACAAGAATGATTTAAGAATGCCTAGCACTTTTTTTGGTACTCATCCAACAATAGCCCTGACGTTGACAATTTTCCCATATCTCTTTGAAGGAGTAGCCAAAAATTTTAATACTCTGCGCATGCAGGGAAGAAAGTTAGGAACAAGTACAAATCAGCACTTAAAAATGTAAAATGCCCCGGACATGCTGCAGGCACGGACTTCACCCTCACAGGATGGGCAAAAGGTTACACAGCCTGTGTAAACTAGTCCTGTTCACAAGCCTGACCACCCACAATGCTACCTGTGGATTTAGTCCACAGGATCCTAGAAAGGTAGGAACATGGCCGATCCCTTCATTTTCCTTTGTACCACTTAGCGCAGAAGTGGCAATCGCGAAAAAGAAATGTATGGGGCGCCTGGGTGGCTCAGTAGGTTAAGCCTCTGCCTTCGGCTCAGGTTATGATCTCAGCATCCTGGGATCGAGCCCCGCATCGGGCTCTCTGCTCAGTGGGGAACCTGCTTCCCTCTCTCTCTGCCTGCCTCTCTGCCAACTTGTGATCTCTCTGTCAAATAAATGGATAGAATCTTTAAAAGAAAAAAGAAACGTATAAGTATGATCAAGAAATTGTTACCATCTGGACTGTGTGTATGAGTTTGCACATGCTTCCTCTACTGTAAATTTACCTTATGTACAGATCACTCTCGAATAACCAAAACGGAAAAAAAAAGAAAACCTTAAGTTCTCGAATGGGTAGTTCATGGACCTCCATTTTAAGAACCCCAAATTCCTCTTAGAGTACGCACAGAGTCACAACTGACCAGAAGGGGCAGATCTTTATTATGATTTCCATGAAAACAACATTTACTCGTCCAATTCAAGGAAAAATAGATGTATTCGTATGAAAATAATGTGCTTGGGCACTGTATTATCTGTTGGTCCACACTTGGAATAAAAATTCGTCTGTCTAAATATAGCTATATAATATAAACAGGCTTGGAAAGACTGCTATGGATTCTAAAATACTCAGCACAGTTTATTAGAGCTGGTCAGTCTAAGCAAGGGACAAACTGAGATTCACTTCAAACCGCTGGGCTAGGGAACACTATTAAAAGAGGCCCTCCTCACCTATAGAAAAGTAAAGCCGGCCTTTCACTACTGATTACAAGGTGAGAGAAAAGGAACACTCTGATAGCCGCAATCAGCATTTGTAATTCGCAAGTGCTACTTGGCAGCAGATTCTAAAAAGGGTAGGTGTTGCTTTACAATTGTCAGAGGAAATTACCTATTGGCTCCAAAGCATCACATGCACAGTTCTGTGTAACAGATGAATTTACAACCACTGAACATGGAAAGATGGTAAGAGCTGCTGCTAGTGGTAAGGCAGGGCATTTTCTTGCCCCTCAATAAAACAAAGGCAGAAAACAAATAAGAATATTGAGAGAGAACATTAAAAAGAGGGAACTTATCTTACCTCCATCCAGCTCCTCAGCCCCAAAATGATTCCTGTAGAAGAGCATGATTTCTATCTTGTAACACTTATAGATGGTCACCAAGCAAACAAGAAGCAGAAGGATAGCACCAAGGCCTCCAGCAAGTTCAACTGTGTACATTAGCTCTAGGGGAAAAAATATCACAGAAGGGAATTAGATCATATTCACATCCCACATCACAAATTCAACTTGATTTCACAGTTTTGTGGATGACACCAGATGTAGGTAATGGATTAACACAACCCCTTCCCTTTCTGCAGGAGAATTTGACCTTCCTAGCTCTGTTTCCTTGGTAACCAGATAAGGTGGTTTGTGGCAACTGTGTTGCTAAGCGACATTGCTTATGGTAAAAATGGTAGATTGCAACTGGACTGATAGAATTATAAAATACCTGTTTGGAAACAATGATTCTGAGCTTGCCTGAGTATAGTAACTCCTATAAACATATCTGTTGTGGGAATCCTACAAACTAGGCTTGAGGATATGAGGAGTTTAAGCTGGGACAGTTTCTGAATCTTGATACTTTCCACCTGAGCTGTCACTGAGAGGATAGGGCTGGGGCTGGGTGGTGGGGGGGGTGGCGCTGTAAAGGTTCAAAAACGCAGTTCTTGAAGGGCGGTGTGGACTGTTTAATAGCATTGGGTGAACCCTCTGAGGATTACAGTCTGCTGCCTCCTGCCAGGAACAATGACTCCTGTTTTCTACCTCTGAATAGTGACCCCAGGGTGGCTGGCCTATCACAGTACTGGAGGCTGAACACTTGGGCTTCAAGAGCTGGACCCCTAGTGGATATCACACCTGGCTACATCTGTAGCATTTTCCTTTCCTAAGCAGCTTAGACATTTTTTTTTCCATTTGTTTAGCCACCCCTCTACTAGGTAGGTTGCTACATTTTATCCAAAAAAGGGATTTTTCTGGCCACTCACTACATACAAGTTCTCATTTTTCCTATTGAATATCCTTATTACTTTAAAAATCATCAGGCACTTCTGGGGATAAAACATTTACTTTTTCCTCCTTTAGAACTCATAGACATTGTGACAAAATCAAAGCTACTGGTTTTTAAACATTAAGCCAGAACTGGGGCGCCTGGGTGGCTCAGTCCATTAAGCATCTGCCTTCAGTGCAGGTCATGATCCCATGGTCCTGGGATTGAGTCCTGCATTGGGCTCCCTGCTCAGCAGGGAGTCTGCTTCTCCCTCTGCCTCTCCCACAGTTTGTGCTCAATCTCTCCCTGTCAAACAAAATAAATTAAATCTTTAAAATAAAAGAAAATAAACATTAAGTGAGCATGCACAGATTTAAAAAAATTTTTTTTAGAGAAAGTGAGAGCACGACTGTGAGGGTGGAGGGAGAAGGAGAAAGAGAATCTCAAGTAGACTCCGTGCTCAGAGACGTGGAGTTTGGCAGGGGCCTCTACCTCATGACCCTGAGATCACAACTTGAGTCAAAGCCAAGAGTCCCTTGTCCAACCGACTGCGCCAGCCAGGCACCCCAGAATGCAGATTTTTAAGTTCACCTTAAGAGCCTGTATATGCCTGCTGTCTTCTTGATCAATATAGTCCAAATGTTGTTGATGGGTAGCCATTGTTCACTACTGATGACTACCTTGAAAAGTGATAGTTTCCTTAATTGCCATTAAATATAAAAATTCCTGAAATTATGGCTCTAAAATAGTGGTATATTTGATGTTTTCATTTATAATCCATCAATGGGTTATCTAATTTCATAGCATAGTTAATGTAGGCTTATACTGAAAACTTTAAAATAATCTATGGTTTTGCAGTAACAACTACTGTTGCATTAAAAGATCACTCCTGAGATCTCAAAAATGGTGTGAAATCATCATGGGTATGATGCAGTATCAGTGACAAATAATTCGAAAAACATGGACATTATTGCCTCATAAGAACATTTGGTGTTTGTGCATGTGTGTGTGTGTGTTTCTGTGTGATGCCACTTTTCCCGTGATAATTGTAAAACAAAATTCAGCCATATTTTTCATTGTCTAGTACTTCATTTTTAATTCAACAGTTTTGGGGTTTTTTTGGTTTCAAAAAACATATATAACTACTGTTTAGTCAAGTGTATTTTATGCTCTTATTAAAATTAAATGGGAAATAGAAGAAAATCTTACATGCTTGGATTTTATGAATTTAAAAAAGAAAAATAAAATGAGTTATTAAATCTTTGAGAGTCTAAGAGAATTAATATGGAAAGTAAAATACAGAAAAACACCTTCTGGAAATTTTCACATTTTGTATTAATAAATATCAGATAGCATGAACCGTTGAAACTTGTGAGGGCCTACACAAGATAGTACTACAAAAGTTCCAGGAATGAAATACAAGAAGTTCCTCAATATAATATTTTCCCATTCCTATGTGAATAGAAAGGATAACTGGGTAGATAATTCTGTAAGATGCACTGGGCCAGATTCTCTCAGTGTAAGAGTTAACTCCACCACACAGAGAAAACTGCATAAAACTAACTTATACCCATAGGCTAATTTATACACCAAAATAATCTGATTTAAATTATACTGGATGTGGGGTGCCTGGGTGGCTCAGTTGTTAAGGGGCTGCTTTTGGTTCAGGTCATGATCCCAGGGTCCTGGGATTGAGACTCGCATCAGGCTCCCTGCTCTACTGGAAGCCTACTTCTCCCTCTCCCACTCCCCCTGCTTGTGTTCCCTCTCTTGCTGTGTTTTTATTTATTTATTTATTTAAAAATATGATAAATAAATAAATAAATAATACTGGATATGATGGGAGAGATAAACATCTGGACTGTGGTTTCTTTTCAGAGTCATTGGTTTTTCTTTTTTTTTTTTTTAAATTTTATTTTTTATAAACATATATTTTTATCCCCAG